GGTTCAAACTCTGGGAGACTGACATTCTAGTAAGTAGGATTGTTTTTTACTATCAGGAAAAAAGTATGCATTTGCAAAGCTTCCTCAGCAGAACTTCAACAGCATCACTTAAATAGCAATAAAACAATAACAAAAAATAAATAAATAACATCACTTAAAACCACGAAGAGGGAAGCGACTTGGAGTCAGGACACCTGGGTCTGTATCCAAGCCTTCCCATTAATTAGTCATGTGATCTCTGACTGAATCTGATGTCACTGGGCCACAATTTCCCTGTCTGTAAAATGAAAGAGCTGGACAAGAGGACCTCTAAGGGTCCTCTCCAACTCTACTTGAGTAATTGCATGATTTGAGAGGTAACCTCCAAGTTATGCATACTGGATGAAGCTAATCATATGCCAATTTACAAGGTGCTCCAGAGGTCAAAAAGTATTTTCGCTCATGGTAACCAACATCTAACAAGGTATACTATGGTCAAGTATACCAAAAGGAATACTTACATGCCTCTAAAACACAAGGTCTCTGGCATAATGGGAGACATTACAGTAAAACTCATCCCATATTCTTCTGGCAATGTGGGAAATAGTATGAAGAAAGAGAATGGAGCAAAATGAAGAAAATTATTCTTTTTAATACTGCACTCCACTCACACAAGCCTCTCAGTTTTGAGAGAACTAGGTGTAATAAATCCTTTAGTAGACATAAGGATTTAGCAGAAACAAATACTAATCCATTTACGAAAGCAAGATGTACTGCTGAGTTTTTTAATGAAAGGTCATCCGAAATCGGAGGTTGACATTAAAATAGCACCTTCCTAGAACGGGGCCTCAATGATAGATAAAGCTTCTGGTGAACCAATAAACAAGGCCCAGCCTTGTCGGTTGATGCTGTAAGGAAATGAAGCCGGAGCTACCAGGCAAGAAATACATAAAGATGTAAGAAAAAAAACAGCAAAGCATACTATTTTCAAGCTTTCTAGAAAATGAGAGAGGAAAAAAAAATGAACCCCTCCCCTCAAAATTTTAAACTACATTAAGGGAATATTTAACAGGGTCCTTTAAGTAATTAGCAATAATCAAGTATTTGGTTTTCAGAATATGTAGGTTGTGTATATATTTTTTCCTAATAAAGCATTTCACATTCTAATTAAAAAAATACTTTATGGAAAAATTAAAAAGATACAATAGTGTCAGAGGAAAAGCCATGATCCCAGAAGTGGAATATTCTAACAACATAACTTACAAGAAACTATGCAATAAAAACAGATTGTTGATTAACACAAACTCATAACAAAACGCGGAGAAGTATCACAATGGTGCTGTAATAACACTTGGCTGCTAAATTCTTTCAATACATTAAGTATCTCCTTGGAGACCAGATTACTTTACATTTTCTTAAAAGACAATTTATTATAGCTTTGTTTTCTTCTCATTATCTCTTAAAAATATATCTAATGAAGAAAAGAACACAACTTCTAAATAACTTACATAAAACACTACTAATGTGTGAGAACAGACTTTGGTTTAATATGTTGGTATTATTTAACAGCACACAACAACCTATTACCATGACAAATCCTTACCACAATACAATATTCCTGTGTCGCATGTATCAAAAACCACTGTATGCCATTATTATGGCACACATAAAATTAACAGCCTAAGGCTGCTAGTGATTTAAATAATTGATAAGTTTTCAATTAAAAAGGCAACATTTTCAGGTCTAATACAAAAATCTATTTAAATTACTGATAAAACTTAGGCTTGTGTTGGCTCAAAGCCAGAAAATGTTTGTATCCAAGAAAAAAAAAAAGGTAATTCTGCAAGTTTCAATTCAAATGTTGCAATTTTTTTTTTATTCTCAAGCAGAGATTTAGGCTGTTTGTTCACTTAACATTTGTAATCAATGATAGTAAGAGTGTCTTCAGTTTTGCTTTTAAACAAATACTAAGGTGACCAAAAATTTATTGAATTCCACACGAAAAACTAAGCTGATTTTTTTTTTTTTTCAAATATATGGTCATCTGTCAGTATCCTATGCCACCATACCAAATCCTGAAACAAAGTTTTCTAGAGCCAAACTGAACCTAAAAAATAAAGATCAATGCAAGTTTTAATAATAGACTGGTAATCATGAGGATTATCAACCTAAATCTGCTGTGAAATTAGGTCCAAATGATTTCTCTTCATGGCAAAACTGGAACTCAACGGAATTTCAACAATAAGAAGCAAGAGACATATCAAATGACAACCAACCAATCTTGTTGTGCTTTTGAAAAAGAGATTCCCCTACTCTTTACTTTTTAAATGTTTGTTCAGAACCTGACTCTACATCAACAAAAGGTATGCGATAGTAGGGATACTGCAACAGACAGGAGAAAAAGAAAATCCCATTTAAGCCTTAAGGGATCTAACACATTATCTCTCTCAGGGATATTTTCATGTTCATCTTGAAATATTTAGCTCAAACACTCAATCAGAAGAGTGGAACTCCACCTTAAGTGAGTTAAAATTCTTTGGGGGCCTCAGTTTCCCATCTATAAATATTCATTGAGTGAATTAATGAGAAGACCTGGACTTGGGTCTGCAGTAGCCAAACCATAATCCACGGACCAGTACAATTTCATAAAAAAGTTTTCACCATTCACAGTAAATTAGGAAAAAATAATAATGTAGTGAGATTTACATAAAGCTAATTTACTCATTTAAAAAAAAAAAATGACTGTCTTCACTTCTGACATTACATCCTGCCCATTGTTTGAATCTTTAAATAACTCCCACTATTTTCTTTTTAAATAAAATGATGGTACTAGTAATTTTTATTAGTTCATTAATTTTATTACTGTGTTTATTTGGCAAAATTAAAAGTTACCATGCCTATGTCTGTCCCCCAATATAAAAACAAAAAATTGATGAGTTCACAAAATCCCAATATCTAAGAATCAATAAGCTAAATGATCTCTTTCTAGACTAAAAGTAGCTACCAAGAAGCCTTAGGAACTATTAATTGTAAAGACAATTACAGAACTCTAATATTTTCCTACAACGAAAAAAATTAAACACTGAATTTTAGAAAATAAGCTTAAGTTCTAAGGAAGAGACGTTACAGGTATGTCAGCTATGGTACCATATAAACACAAATCACTCAGAACTTAACGATAATTTGCCAGAAGCAGATCGGGGAGAAACATTGTAAAAGAGTGAATAAGCATGGTATAAGGAGGAGCTAAACTTAAATGCCATATTCACATTTATACTAGCTCTAAGACCTTGGGCAAGTCTCTTAACCATAAAGCCCTCATCTAAAAAAGAGATGGTAATACATACCTCACAGAGCAATTATTAAAAGTAAAGAAAATAAAATATCTCAAGCATCTAGTATATAGCAAGCACTTAGAAATGGAAATTACTACTATTATCACTCTGATTACCCACAGTACTATTTCTCAAAAAGCACAATTTGTCAAATCTTTCCCGAAGCACATTACTGAAAACACACCCTTGTGTATGGTTATGTCAGGTACATAATGAAAGTACACACATCAGTTCTTGCAATGGACGTAGCTGAGAAAACTGGAACCCATCTTTGTGTGTGTTTTCAAACAATAGGCATGTCACGTTCTCAGAAGAGTTAGCCAATCTATCAATACCAGTGCTAGACCTTTCAGCTGACAATCCTACTCTGCCTTTCAAGGTACTGATGAGCCCAGCTCTAAATTCTCAGTACACAAAGACTCCCACATACGTTAATGGGAAGTCAATGGGAAATTGACTTTTCCTATTCTGGGCTGGTTGGAAAGCAACGCTCTGTTAATCATGCCATTCTTCTCGTTCTCTTTCCTCCTACCCTAAATTAAAACTATTGGCGAAAACCCACACAGATATTTTTTTACAGTTTTCATTACAATGAAACAGTACCCCGGTTTAAGCAGAAGTCTGTCAAAAACCTACAACCTAGCTGTTGGCTAAGATTAGAGCCTTGATGAAAAGCATGGATCCTGAGTCCATCATTTCCACCATAATACCACTTTGCATTTGTATAGAACTTTTAACTTTTCAAAGCGCTTCCACATCTATTACCCCATTTGATCATTACAATGACCCTGTGCAGCAGAAAGGACAAGTATTATTATCCACAATTGACAGATGAGGCAACTGCAGCAGAGAAAGGTTAAGTGAGTTGCCTAAGGCCAGGAAGCCGGAGGAGAGCTGTGGTCTCCTGACTTCCAGCCCGCTGCTCTTTCCACCACACACCACACCAGATTACACACTCAGACAACATAAAACAAAAGATGGGAGGGCTCAAATCAGGGCTCAGGGAAGCTATGTCTCTGCGTGGAAGTTAAGCTTATCAAGCTTAGTATTAAAGTTTTGAAAATGCACCCTTTTTCTCTTGTTCATCTACTTTAGTTGGAAACAAACGTTAATGCAAATTTTCAGTGAAATATGAAACAAAAATGTCATCTCTGGATATATTCAAATCACTCTGATTCAGTAAGTAACCCTGTAGTTCATTTTGGGGCGGGGGGGGGTGAGTATATAAAATAACCGAGAGTACATCTTTAAATCGTGTATCCATATTATGCCTGCAGCTACATTATAACTACAGTCTGTTTGGAAGGGTGAAAGAGATCTCTAGTTGAAAGTAGATTTTGAAAAATTTTTTAGAGCCCAAGGGTTCATTTTTAATGAGCCGTTACTTTAAGTACTGCATAAAAAATACAGAAAATTGATAGTCCATTTAGTCTGCACCATACCTAATGCAAAAGTCATTAAGATGCATTATTCTTAATGTTCATGATATGATCAGTAAGTGTACAAGTCCTTTGAAAAGAATGCCCTTAACTTTCACGTAAGGAAATCTTTGAAAACCTTACATATCGTATAGAAAAACGTTATGGCAACTGTAATTTAGCTTTCAAATCCTCACTATGCCCGGGGAACATCATCCTCAATTACATTAACATCTTAAAAAATAGTCCTCATTTGTAATATACTTACATATGACAGCATTGCCTTCATTTCTTCATCACTTCTCACTGTAATTCGATCACCATCTTCATCTTCATCTGTTTAAAAAGCAACATAATATAACTGATATGATATGCATTTTTTTTAACATACAAAAATCATGCCAGGTGGGAACATAATACAATTAGTTTTTTACAACTTGATATCCAAACCCTCAACATCCTAGTTTTGGAGAACGTTGGGGCCATTGGTTTGCTTTTTGTTTTTTGTTCAGAATACAATTAGTATCTCAATTAAAAGGAAAAAAAAAAAAAAAAGAACCACTGCCTTTGAGTTGATTGCAACTCAGAGAGACCCTACGGGACAGAGTAGAACTGCACCATAAGGTTTCCAAGGCTGTAATTTTTATGGGAGCAGACCAACGCATCTTTCTACCACAGAGCAGCTGGTGGGCTCGAACTATAACCTTTCAATTAGCAGCCAAGTGCTTTAACCATTGCACCACCAGGGCTCCTAGAATCTCAATAAAGAACTAAAACTTTTTTAGGGACAGCTGAAAATTAAAATATTGCCCATGTCATTCACAACATGTATCTAAATAAAGTAAATATAACTGGAGTATGACTAAACAGATTTGGCTTGGAAAATTTCAAAAAACAAAAACAACTGTTCTGCTAACAGTACGTTTTTGAATTTCCCAAACAGCACCCTATCCCTCTACTTCCCTATTCTTCTTCTCTCCCAGGCAATTTATCATGTCACAATAGCATGATAAAAATGACTAACATTTACTGAATATTACTATACACAAGGCACCATGATTTCATATGCAGTACCTCATTAAAAATCTAACAATAATCCTATGATGTAGACATCATCATTATTATTATTCCCCTTTTACAGAAGAAACTAGGGCCTTAGTGTAAGGTTAACTTGCAAAACAACTCCAACGCAAGTATCTCCATATCCCATTCTATCTAGTAGCTCATTCCTTCTCTCTTTCAACAGTCATTTGTATTAAGCATTCTCTGACCATCGTTAAGTTTCAAATGGTGGTGATTCATGTTATTTTGAAATAATGTAATAGTCTTAAGACTAGAGGATAACAAGACTTTAGAAAATACACAATCAGAACGTATACACTTGAATAAGTGTTATCACCAAAGTAGTCATATCAAGAAATAAATAATTTACTTATTTCAAGTTCGGTGCGATTGATTACTTTTGTGTGTGACCTTTCTACCCATGGTCTTGAGACTCCCACCTAGGCAACTGGGCAGAACTGTGTGATAGGGTAATTGTGGCCCACCAAGGGGATTGCTCCGTTTTGCCTTAAAAGAGAGCCAATTCCATAGCAGACAGGAGGAGTCTACCACTACGAAGAAAGAACAGCCAGGAGCAGGGAGTGTGTCCTTTGGACCCAGAATCCCTGTGTTGAGAACCTCCTGGAAGCAGGAGACCCAGAAAGAGAGCAAGCTGTAACCCTGAAGACAGTGAGAAGCAGTGGCAGGAGAGATCCAGCAGCAGAGACTCAGCAGCAGGAGACGGTGAGGTGGGCTTCCTGGCCCAAGGAGTGAGAAAGCTGAGTGCCTTTGGGGAGAGGCCTAGGGCCAGGGAAAGGCTTTCGTGATGAAAGAACTGCATCCTGAGTGTTCCTGAGCCTGAACTGTAACTGTTACTTCCCTAATAAACCCCATAATCGTGAATATGGTCTGTGAGTTCTGTGTGGCCATTGCAATGAATTATCAAACCCAGTACAGAGTGCTGTGTGAGGGACAGCTGGTGTCAGAATTAGTAAAGATGGTGCAGAAAGGATGCTTGCCTGGCCTCCACCTCATGGGAGTCAGCCTTGCGCTGCTGATCTTGGTTCTCCTTCCCCCTTGTGGGGTTGGAGAAGGTCAGATACCACCCCCATGCCAATGTTACACAAGTCAATCACAAAAGGACAAATACTGTATGAGACCACTATTATAAAAACTCATGAAAAGATTTACACACAGAAAGAAACAATCTTTGATGGTTACCAGGGAGGGGAAGGGTGGAGAGGGAAAAATACTAACTAGACAAAAGATAAGTGGTAATTTTGGTGAGGGGTAAGACAGTACACAATACTGGGGAAGTCAGCACAACTTGACCAAAGCAAGGTCATGGAAGCTTCATAGACACATCCAAACTCCCTGAGAGATCAAATTACTGGGCTGAGTGCTGGGGACCATGGGACATCTAGCTCAACTGGCGTAACACAGTTTATAAAGAAAATGTTCTACATTCGGCGTTGGTGAGTAGCATCTGGGGTCTTAAAAGCTTATAAGCGGCCATCTAAGATACTCCACTGGTCCCACCTCATCTGGAGCAAGGGAAAATGAAGAAAACCAAACACACAAGGCAGATTAGTCCAAAGGACTAATGGACCACAACTACCACAGCCTCCACCAGACCAAGTCCAGCACAACTAGATAGTGCTCAGCTACCGCCACCGACTACTCTGACAGGATCACAATAGAGGGTCCCAGACAGAGCTGGAGGAAAATGTAGAACAAAATTCTAACTCACAAAAAAAGACCAGACTTACTGGTCTGACAGAGACTGGAGAAACCCCAAGAGTATGGCCCCCAGACACCCTTCTAACTCAGTACTGAAGTCATCCCTGAGGTTCATCCTTCAGCCAAAGATTAGACAAGTCCATAAAACAAAACGAGACTAAATGGGCGTACCAGTCCAGGGGCAAGGACGAGAAGGCAGGAGGAGACAGGAAAACTGGTAATGGGGAACCCAAGGTTGAGAAGGGGACAGTGTTGACATGTCATGGGGTTGGCAACCAATGTCACAAAACAGTATGTGTATTAATTGTTCAATGAGAAACTAATTTGCTCTATAAACCTCCATATAAAGCACAATAAAAAAAATTAAAAATAATTTACTTATCTCAATAATGTTTCTCTTATTCAAAATATGTTTAAATATCTCTTCAAAAACTGTTTCAGAACCTGAGGACAGACAGACCAGATGAGAATATCAGATTTTACTTTTTAACCCAAAATAGAATTGTCGGCCTGATCCCACGCTCACACCATCTGCCAGGCAGGACTCAGAATGACTTTTGGCTTTCTCTAAATATTTAGTTATATACTTCATCTTTCTAAAGACAAAGATTTGTCAATATAGTGACAACACCCTATGAGGTAGACTCCAAATGCACAGTTGGAAAAAAATGCCAAAAACATTTTGAGCAAAGGCAATGTTGCTGGAAGAAGTACAGCCTCCCAGGGTGTCAAACTGGAAGGGGCAGACCCTTGTTTCGATGCCTCAGCTCTGGTACATTTGCTAAACAATCATTATTATTATATTTTAGTCACTCTTGGGCATATAATTGCTGTCTTAATCACATGCAAAGATCACTCTGATCAGAGGCCCGGATAACCATAACAAATTCCCATCATGAAAAGAACAAGCTTGCAGGACATGCTCTGGGGATGCTTACTGAAAATACAGGGGGTGCGCTGTTCAGACATGGATCTTGCCTGTCCCACCTCACTTTTGTGGGCCCTCCCACCCTTCCAGCTGTAGTCCAGAAGACAGCCCCTGCTCTGTGACCAGGCCATGGGAACCCTAGGAGGGAGCTGGTGCTGTCTCCCAGTTAGCCTATTTCAGGGCAAAACGCTACTTCCTTTTTCTCCTCAGCAGCCAACAGCAATGTGACAGCATGATGGAAATTAGCACTTGCGCCAGCCCCACTCAGTGACCAAGCCAACAAACAGCTCTCATCAAGGTTTTGTTTCCAAAGGATGTGTTCCTGGATCCTGCATCCTGGATCTTTGATGCCTCCCGCAGATCTCCCGACTTGGTTTGAACAGTATCATGAAGTCACACTGTCTAGACAGCTGGAATCTGTGGCGTGTCACCGCTGATATTAAGCTACCAAAAGTTGCCTGTTTTGGGCTGCACACTGGTCACTTTCAGGAAGAAAGAAAGCACATTCCTGTGGGATGTTAAGTACATAAAGGACTATACAGGAGTCTGGTGATTTCTTTCTTTCTTTTTTTTTTTTAGCATACCGACTCTCTACGGCCAAACCAGGGGCGGGTGGGGGGTGCCATCCTAGTTTTGGAAATAGAAGAAAGGTATTTCTACATAGGTTCTAGAAACTTTAACATTCTCAAAGCTAAATTAAAACATTTTCTTTAAAATGTAGGAGGCAGAGGGGAAAAAACATACATAGTGTAAAGGATATAATGTCACATAATCCACACACCAAAACACTTTTACCTTCTTGCTTTAAAATCAGGTCTAATAATTCTCTGTTTAAATGTGGGTTAAAATGATATATTCTTGATGAAGCTCTGAACTACTTGGTGAAAAAAACAATCCCCAGCCTGAACAGAATCGTTTTCTGTAACTCTCATTTCTGCACCAGAGCTAGCTATAGAGACGATGGTTACAAAAAGGCCTGTTTATGTTCAAGTCTCAATCCATACAAGACCTCAATAAAGTACTGTTCACATGTGATGGTGTGGGAGGTGCACCTGGAGTTTAATAAAGCAGGTAAAAAACCTTTTCATAATTTGTAAAGAGGGTACAGATTCCAGAAAGATCATTTAAATGACAGTCTCTCTAAATCAAGAACAAAAAAAATAGAGAGAGAGAACATTCTCAAAGACCTTAAAGCCAGGGCTTGAACCTTGAAAAAATCAAACCCGTTGCCATCAAGTTGATTCCAACTCATCGCGACCCTCCAGGACAGAGTAGAATTGCCCCATAGAGTTTCCAAGGAGCACCTGGTGGATTCGAACTGCCAACCTTTTGGTTAGCAGCCGTAGCACTTAACCACTATGCCACCAGGGTTTAAGACTACTTTAAAAAAAAGATTCTAGAATTCTATGACTCTCTTAGGGTTTACTTCAGTAAAAAATTTGCAAGAGAAGCCAGTTACCAGAAAAATTTCTTGCACAGAAGTCCCGTAAAAGCAGCGATAAAACACTACAAGGGCACTTTGGTTTAAGTGGACAGCTTTTTGCACTAACCTAGAGGTCAGGTGTTAGAGCTGCCTCATAAGGGATCTGACTCCAAGAGAAAGACTTCAGATAAGTTGAAAGAGGCA